GCGCGCCTCAGTGAATCGATGGCGCGTCCGGAGATGGCTACTGGGAGGAGGTCGAGTGTCGCTCTGCACTGCCTCCCGTGGCCGACCAGCGCGTGAAAATTCTCTATAAGAGTGAATATTCTTTTGATTGATATTAGATGGTACTCGAATGTTATAGAGCGAAAGTCTGTATGCGTAGTGAATAAAAAAATTGCAATCCCCTACCTTTCACGGCACGACTTTAACTCATCTTATTACTGATGACAGTAATGGTGAGAATTAACTAAAATTTTACCAATCGATTTATTATATAATCTCGATTTTACGCAACTTTGCAAATTTCAAACGTCGTACCGTTAAATGTAGGGTAATTTGACTTCACCACTTAACCACCACTATTTATTGCGCCTACAGAAATAATAGCCCCAGAATGCTTTTTCGTTATTCCACAAATTTCATTACTTATTTTAGAAAAAGCACTTTCCACTTCATCGTTTTAGAAAGTTCGCATTTTTACGCACAATTCAATTACAGAGTTTCGCTCGTCAGTAATATCACAATGCCAAGTATGCCTGTTTAAAAATGTTTTAATGAATCTTTTGACCTCTGCGAAAGGGAAGTCATGAAAGGCGTGGAACGTTTAATGTTTTGTATTGAGTACTGAGACAATGAAAAACACTTTATAAAATATTCGCGTTAATACAACCAGCAACGAGCTGAGAACAGTAAACAAATCATTTGCAAAATAATATATATTGCAGCTTTACTGATATTCTTACGATTGCGATAGGAATTAATTATATTACATTTTTAAGAAGGAATAATAGTTTTCCAAAAAAAAATAGCATTTCAATTACTCTGCGTAACTGTTGCATTTTTTAGTGTAATATTTCAAAAAATCACTAAATTTATACACTTGTAATAGGAAAAATTTATGCTAAACATTTTATTTACGTAGCTGTAAAACAATTAAAAGCTTTTTATATGTTTGTCTTTCTATTTTATAAAATTTGATTTAAATAACTTTATAATTCACAAATTCGTTTTCATAACATTATATATATTGTTATCTGTAGTACATTTCAATTATTATTATTCTTAATTACAATACGTGAAATACTTCTGGTATTTTACGCTATGTATTTCGAAGGGATGTCAAAATACAAGGTGGAAATAATCACCATATATTTTATGTATAATCTAGCGAGAAAGAGGAGTCGGAATTAAGATAATGGAAACGGATAAGGATGAATAAATGTGTGTACATTGGTATTTTAAGTTTCTTACTTTGCATTAACCTTTCTATATTACTGAAAGTTAGTAGCCTTCGAGTCAAATCTTCTGCGTTTTCTGCATCAAGCGCAGTGTTTTAAGCTTTGCAAGGAATTTAAAAAGTTGATATCTCAGTAATACACGGTTGAAGTGAAAAAACTTTAATATAAAATTCAAGAGAAGATAACTTCTGAAATTGTGTCGATTCGCCCCAGGATGTAGTTTAACGAAAATTTCAGCTAATGAAAACGGTATTCACCTGTATTACTTTTCAAAATAGAAAGCAGTGGTTACGCAAAAAAAAATTAATTTAATTTCTAAATGAAAAAGGCGTTGTTAGTGCTTCACTGTTCCCGGTTCTAGCGATTGTTCTAGTATACGTACAGTACTACAGAAATACCGAGCGAAGTGGCTCAGGGCGTAGCGCTGACTCGGCACTCGGGAGACAAGGCTTCAATCGTCATGCCGGTTATCCTGACCGGGATCATCGGTCATCCAGGTGAATGCTGGGATGGGTCTTCTGAAAGGCCACGACCGCGAAACCGGCGTCGCTAGCCGCATTCTTAACTAAGTGAAGTCACAGAGGTTAAGTGATTTCGAGACATCGTGGTTTCCTGTTTGGGTGACCGAATAGGTACCCATGGATCTAACGGCGCCGATGTCAATTGCATCGCTTATTTTAGAAAACCGTCAAACGTCAAATTTCTCATTTCGAGAAAACTGAGAAAAAGTCTCATAATTTATCTGATTTCAAAATAGTTTTATTTATTAAATCAGTTGATAAATTGATATTATTTTATATAAATATGCACTAAACGATGTATCTATTCTCTTGAAACAATAATCCACCATTGAGGCGTGTTTTAGATTTGAGTGATTGACTGGTTTCTGAAATAAACGATTCAATTGCCTTTTAAGGGACATACGATGGCTAAATACAAATAGTACAGAAATGAGCGTAAATGATTTTGGCCAATCCGTAGCGCTTGGGTGCGACCGTGTCGAAACGCCCGCCGTCGCCCCACGGAGACGAAGTCGCCTCGCTGGAAGCACCGGAGATGAGGGAGCGCTGCGTGGGCCGCGCTCCGCACCTGGGGGCGCGGCGGGTGGTCGGGCACCGCCCACTAACGGTGCGGGGCGCGACCCCCGGGTTGCCCCTGGCCCCCACGACCCTTGGTCCCACCGCCCACTTCACCGCTCAACCTACCAACTGCCGAACCATTCAACTGATTGATTACTTAACGATTCCGGGCGCGGCAATTTATAAGGTTATCGATCCCGTAAGTGTAGTGCATATGTTGAATGGTGGGAGATGGCGGTGCTATTTCCGCGATTGATGGTGAGATCCGGCGCCGACCTACACGTCAACTCGTTGTTTTCCCGACCAGGTATCTCCCACCACCGGGGCATCACCCCAGTCGAGGCAAGCTATAAGCTTCTTACTGGTCTCCCGGAATGTATGGTAGTGTAGTGCATGTAATTGTAAGTGTGTGTAAGTAAGAGGAGATGATTCGACAAGGAAGAGAAATAAAAGATCAAATGCGGTCCGTGGCCCGTTTGTTGGAGTACTTCTCCGACGTTCGCCTGATGTGGATCGGAGAAACCACGGAAAACTACCGATGAGAGTCGATTGCTAAAAGTCGCCTCCAAACTGCGGCTGGATTCGACCTAGCTATGCAGCCAGTGTCGAAAATCCCGCTACCACGGGTCCCGTCTGGATTCCAACCCTAGGCCCTCCCGGTCAGAGGCTGTGCAGTGACAATTGAAGTCGCAAATCGTGCTGGTTGCGTCTGGATTCCGTCGGGATTCCAACCCTAGACCTTCCTTGCTTCTAATCCTTGACAATTCCAATCCTTGACAATTGATGGCCTGCGCCACCTAAGCCTGTCTAATCTATTCAATAACCAAATCACCATACATTTCTGCCACCCATCTACACAACCACCTACCACTCTTGCCACAACCCAATGACCCAACTGCCCAGCGCTGAGGCCGCCCGAAGCACGTCTGCCCTTCCTCCCGACTCCTCAGAGCTCCGGGAGAAAGCGGGAGTAGCTGCACAGCCTCTGGATTCTTTTCGGGTCGCGAGACGGTTCAAAACGATAGCTGAAGAAAATCACTCGAGTTGTTTAAACACGCTGGGCAAGCAAGATCTTTTTGTGAGCAACTTTCAAAGGTTACCGTTGACATTACCAACTTGTTTTTAATCAAATAAACAGGATGCCTCGTCAACGAATGCGTCTCTTTTGACTTTGAAATGTTCTTTACAGTTATATACTTCTCATGCTAGAGAAAATGCGTAGTTGAATGAATAGTTCAATGTATTTAAAATTCATTTCAACCTCAAGCATAAATTACTGTAGAATAAAAGGAACGATTCATCACAAACAGGAATTTGTTTAATAAAAGATGCTTCTAAAGTTACAACACATAAGTGTACGCATTCTAACAAGCACTAATATTACTACGTAAGATACAAATATCACGAATTACATAAAATTTGTTTTAGCTACACTAATATTGGTCAGCATTCTCGTGTATTGTAATTTTGGTTTTACTAGAGATAACGTACGGATTAGTTTTACGCTTCAAAATACATTTCATCAAATTAAAGTATTCGCGAAATGGAATTCATAGGAACATTACTTACGTAAAATATTTTTCTCGTCGACCGTCGAACTGCGGTGATCGGTTCGCGCCGTGCTGTACAGCCAGCGCCAACAAGTGAACAGTTTCCATTTCGTCGGATTGAAGAAGTGGCCTGCCTCCACAGGATTAGGGCTTTTTGAAGTATATCAAAGTTCTTTACTTATGTTTTCACAGGGTGGAGCAACACTCACCTGATGGCAGCTTCGCAGCTCTGCAATCTTCCACTTCCCTTCCAACCGACGCCAACTTTAATCATCCAACGAGACCAGATCTCGGAAACGCCCTCCGACCAGCTCCAGGTATTTGACTCAAAGTGCAAACCCACCACGTTCATAATCAGTATGAGCCCGTTTATGCAAAATCGCTTCACACCGCAAGCAGACAAAGAAAACTGATAATTAAGACAATTCTCGACACCAACACCACCGAATCTCTGTGAAAAAATGAAAAGGAAAAAGTCAAAAAAAGGGAAGGGGAGAAAAGGGAAAGAAGGGAAGTCAGTCAAGGTAATTTTAAACGTCGGTAGAAACCTTCAGATCAACTATCCATTTTTTATAAGAAAAGAAGAAGCAGCAGACGATACTAACCATGACGATAGCAGAGTTTCAGGAGAGTTAAAAAAAACTTTCAATATCGAAAATGTTAACGTTACTAGATGTGTGTACTTGTATACTGTATACTGGCACGATCGTGCCAGTAGCCAAGAGCTAGTAAAGAAGAGGAGAGAACTAGAAAAGGTGAGTAAATAAGCCGACTAGATGTTTGATAACCAAAATAGATACTTTGAAAACAAATAAGGCAGTAGTTAGAATAAATTAGCGCCACGGTTCAAATCGCGCACTCGTGCTCATAACGTTTTTCACCCGTCGCTTCCTCAACTCCGTGCAAGAAAGGCCAAGACTCTTTCACGTATCCATTGTTTCTGGACGAGAAACGTTTGCGGATTTTACTGTATTCTCTATCTTATGCGTACACAGAGATCTGAACTTGCTGTGAGCGAATATGTGATAATGATAAAAGATAAAGTAGAATTGAAAGCTTTGCTGTAAATACTTTCTTATTGGCGGGCCATATTTGTGCCCAAGTTCCATTAACAGAACACCAATAACATCTCGAAAACTGACAATACTTAGATTGAAACAACACAGGTAATGAAAAAAGAGTATTCAAGAGTTCTGAGAAAATTATGTCTCTACTGTGAGTGTGACCTGAACACAGAAAACATCTACCTTAAATATACATCTGACGTGGACACTCACACATCATCAGAATATAGCAACAAATAGTTGCACAATTTTCGCAATCTGATTTTTTATTGTACAAATAATAAAATTGATCAAGTGCACATCTAACTGCATATTTACGAGTAAATGAGCTTAAAAATAAAAATGCACGCAATTTTGTGTAGCATTTCATTGAAAATGTATTATTTTAACATAATAATAAATAATATAATTAATTTGTAACTGATGATTGATTTAGATACTCCTGTATAAATATTAACGAAATTATGATTTTGTAAGTAGTAGAAAGCCAATAATATTATTTTTAATTGAATTCTATTGTAATCTACGCGACCACTGAAGGGTTAATTTCAACCTCTGTATTTGAACAATTCAATCCATGAATTAATTATAACGAATATATTATAACTAAACATAACGAATGTACAGACTTATGTGGACAAAATTGAAACCACCCCCCAAAAAACGCCTACGAATATTTCATAATTCGACACTTTAGGAGGTGCACATTTTTTGCATTTCCTCCTATATAAGGTTGCCATTCAAATTCCGGTAAATTTATTTCGCAAGAGGAACACATTATGCTTTATTAACCTGTAAAAATTAAAAGCGTTCTGAAATTTCAAACGTTTTAGTCACAGTCTGCATTTACAAAATGTTCCTAAAAATGTTTCATTAATATTTTAAACTAATTTTCAAAGCACGCAGAAATTAAAAGAAGTGTTTGCATGCTCTGGCGTAGTGAAAGGTGTCTGTAGTTTCATAAGACACTCAGTAACTTGATGAAAACACCAAAATGGTTCAACAATTTCGATGCGGACTGAAAAATTCAAATATGTGTTTGTTTCATTTCGCCTATTCTCATACTGCCTTCACCGACAGAGTTTTCTTATCCAGAACGAGTTGTTTATGACCGGTGAACGGTGGACGGAGGGCGTGGGAGCGGATGTGAACGCTGGATGTCGAACGTGGGGCCTATTGATCTCGGACGCCGCTCCGCGCAGTGCCCTCGCAGCTCCTCCTCCTTCTCCTCCTTCTCCTCCTTCTCCTCCTCCTCCTCCTCCTCCTCCTCCTCCTCCTCCTTCTCCTCCTCCTCCCCTTCCTTCCCCTCTTTGTCCTTCCTCCCCTCCCACTTTTTTTGTCATACTTCTTCACCTCCTCTTCCTGCCCCAGTTTCTCCTTTTTCCTTCTCCTCCTCCTTTTTTTGCCCTTCCTCACTTCCTTCCGGTTCAATTTATCTTCTTCATCTCCTTCTACTTCTCTGCTACACTGTTTATTCGTATTATCCTCTTCTCTCTCCTCTTCCCACCCTTTCCTCTTCTTTGTCAATTATTCCTTCTCTTTTATTGATTTTGTCTATATTGATAACCCCCATTCGAAAAGTGTTCATGTCATGTTTTCACCTTTATATTACTTTCCTGTTCTCTTCTTTCTCTCCGCCACACGAATCGTCCTTCTTTTCGCGTTCAAATCTTTAACTTTGTTTACTTTTGTTCAGAAATCTTCTCTTTTTTAATTTTTTCTACATTATTTCAATTTAACAGATAACTTATCAAATTTTGTTCGAGAAATCTTGCAGAATCTAGCTCTGGTTAGTGATGTATGCCGTAAACTCTCATTCAATAAAACCTCGATTAATTAAATCTCACAACGTGATGGAAAATTTTGAGTTACCCAACATTTCAGGGCATCACGGTTCATGTCATTGAGAGAAATTGTTCGAAATTAGATGTCTGAAAACTGATTTCTGAAATGTGCATCTCGAGATATTCAAATGCCTTATACATATTTTAGCGCAAATGTACGAACCATAAATTGTTCTGATGTTCCCTTCCAAGCTGACAACTTTGTCAGAGAGTTGCGAGCAGCTCAAATTAACCGAGACCATTTATTTTTCTTTCAAGGGCATTTATTCAGCCGATACCCGGGTACCCATTTTCATCCTGATAGGACGCATATTAAACCATTCACTAAACAACACACTTGCGGGCTCCTCTGATTTGGGATAGGCAGAACGCGAGGCCATCTACGACAACACAGACATGAGACACAAGGGGCAAACAACCAATGCCCAGGGCGGGACTCGAATCTGCGACCCTTTGCATCGAAGCGCTGAGTCGGAGTCTCTATAAGCCCCCTAGGCCATCCAGGTCGGCAGACCATTTTTAATAACGTTTTAAATTAATGAAAGAAGCCACACACAACTTCCCTTCTCTTCAAGTAATTAATTTTAGCAGGATGAGTTATTTCAGGTGATAAAAAAAACACTGTATTCTCCGCTGTTAGATTATCAAATGTGTCTGAGTCATTTTGCTGAGAAACTCATCGTGTCTGCACAGCCGATTCTTGACAATTTTTTCCTCTTCTTTATCGTCCAGAAGGTTGTGCTTAGTGAGTCAAGTTCTAAGAATTGCTGAAATAAAAATCTACGTATTTCGGATACAAACGAAGAAACCCGTTCAATTTTGAGATGAAGAAATTGGTGTCCAAATCAGGACGCGTGTGCCACTGAGATGGCGCCTGATTTCAGGTCGTCGGGAACTTGGCCCGTCAGCCGGCCGTCAGAATTGCAGCTACACTCGCATGACGGAAATGACCTTCCGAATCTAGAACAGTGCTCGTCTAGGGAATGTGCACTACGTTCCGGTGATACAAAGGCTGCGACGAAACTGAAAAATTTCAGAAAACACTTCGTATGGGAATCCATCCTTTTGAGGCAAAAACGGTAAAGGAATTATTCAGTGTTAATATTATAAAGAACCTACTCTTGTGCATTTTCTTTGTGAAATGGGACACTTTTTTAAAAATGTTTGTCCTTTAAATTTTCAATTTTGGTTGGCGATTGCAGCGATGAACGGGCGGGAGGACGGGCTAATTACGTAGTGTCACTGAACGCAGGGAAATCTAAACGATCCGCACAGCAACTGGCGTGCTGAGAACGTGCAAAGCGCCCTCTCTCCCCACTATCCCGCACGCCGCCCCACCCGCCATCTCCGCCTACCTTCCAGCCACGCCCGCCCACCCATCCCGCGGTCTCACACCGTTCGTCTGCGAGTGTTCCGTCAACCCGCACGCCCCTTTCCTCTTCCCCTGCCCTCCCAGCACCCCTCTCTCTTCCCTCCCCTGCCCGCCGGCGGCGCCCGGGGCGTGTGGTGCGGCGGGGGCGGGGGCGTGGGCGTGGGACGCACGGCGAACGACGCTTCCAACTGTACTCGTGGTTGTCTGTGCTGTCGTGCGCAATGGGCTACGCAACGCGCCGCTTAGCCAGCAAGCCCGGCAACTAATACGAGCATGCCACGGGGTGACGGGGCAGCGAGGACGTGAATGCGGGTGGAGGAGGCATCGGGATTGATGACGACGAATCATAAGGGCGATGGAAATTCAAAATTGAAATTGTGGTTCCAGCACGATTTATTTAATAGTGCATTTGACGTAAATCAGCGGTTGCTGTTTCATCCAATAGGGAACTTGTGTGTCTCTACAGTGACGTCACTATGGGGACGTTCAAACTCCCGATTGGATGAAACCGTGTACAGCTGATTTTCATCAAATGCACGGTTAAATAAATGCTAGTAAAGGTCTACGGTGAATGTTGGTGGCGAGAAGCAGGACGAGTGAGCGTAGTTATGGCAGTGATGGCAAGGGCGAGTCGTTTGTTTACTGGACGACTAGAACCATCATGATGACAATGAATCATGAGTGGGTGGTAAGACAATGACTTATGAATGAGTGAAAAATTAAAATAATTAAACTATGGAGGATGTTGCTGGACCATGTAGTCATGGAGATTGTGGCGAGCGGTTCTAAAGTTACTGGAAGTTGGGACGAGCGGTCCTAAGATGATAACGACCGTAGTTTCTAAACGATCAGAACCTTCTCAATGCAAAGGAATCGTGAGAATGAAGATCTAGTGGTAAAGATTAGTGAATTGAACGTGAAAATAATCCACTGGTATCAGAATAACGGTGTAGGTGCGAATTTACAGGAGAAAGGCAAGACAGTAGATATGGGTTTGGCAAGTAGTGACTACGGGGACCACCAACATGGGCTGTGAT